TCTTCCCTGTTCCAGGAACTTGGTGAATGTGGTGAGTGGGCTGACCTACTTATGCAGTGTAACCAATAATCTCACTTCAGAGAGGCACACTGTGAGGACTGTCAGGCCAGGTCCCTAGTACAGCAATACACCATGGGTCCCATAAGCCGGACTGTCACCGTGAGAGTGTCACCACTGATTTCTGCCTGTGAAGAACAAAATTAAGTCTCTACAGGCATGGTCTCCCTCTTTTCTCTCAAGACACCTGATTTGATCTCTTCTCTAGATGTGAAGAAAGGGTAGAAGATAAAGGGTTAAGCCCTGAGAAGAATCCCTGAGGCTAAGCAGGATGTCTGGAAACATTTAAGGCTGAGTTGCAAGTGGCATTTAGAACTGAATGTGGGGACAGGAAATGTATACTTCTCATGTTTTTAAACAATTAAATCTTTCTCATTGCTAACCGTGCAGTTCTTTTCCCACATAACCAAGGCTTAAGCATTGGGTTTCTCTTAAGAAAATCAGGGGGCTTCTGGTTTCTTCTCTTTCGTTCCTAAAATACTGACTTTTAATTGTAGGTCCAGTTTTCTCTGCCAGCATATTTTTAGTTTGTAAATAAGTTGCTAAAATAGTCATTGTATCCGCCAGATTTTTAAAATAAGATTTTCTTTCTGTTTATTAAAATGAAAATAAGTAGCTTGCTATATAAAGCATTAGTGAATTTTCCATTTAATAATAATATAAACATCATTTTGAATCAGCATAGAATTCATCAATTTAATAACCAACTGGCTGCTACAGGCATGTTTTTAAAGCTAATTACATGTGACTGAGTGCCGATGGTGGCAGTTACTATATGACTTCTACTGACAAAAACCTCTCCAGCTTTGGATCAAGCCAGAGAGTATGGTGGTAACCAAGCCTGTGGTGTCCTGTTGCGTCCTGGAGCTATAAACTCAACTGGAAAAACGTATGGACTCTGGTGGTCTTTTCAGCTGAGTAGACGTGTGCTCAAATGAGTTGCAAGCACACGTCTGAGCTGCTGGCTGCATGTTTCTTACCTACCTGGGAAACGCAGCAGCTTCTGTGGTTCCCATAGGCCTTCTGCCTCCTGCTCACACTGTTGCAGGCATGTGGCTGGGTCCTTGTAAAAGTCCAAGGCATGGTGCTGGCTTTGTTAGAGGCCTGCCAGAAGAGCTGCCAGCTTCAGCTGCCAAGCCTCCCTGCGAGATCCTTTTCTCTTTCCCTCAGATGATTCATAGGTCATGTGGGATCACATCTGAGCTTAATGAAAAACAAAATCTTTTGGACAGTTTTCTAAAACACATGCTTTTTGAAAACTTTTTCATAGTGGGTTATATAAATCACTGCCTAATAAGCTTGCTTCATTTGGTTGTAGTCTACATTCCAAAAAATCATATTAGCTGTTATTGCAACATATTAGTACTGGTTTCAATATTTACTTCTTAAAAGGGAAAAATGAATCTACTTTATATTAGTCACTAAAATTCACCACATACTATATTTGTGTAGTCCCTCAGAGGCCCATATGTTAAAGACTTGGTCCCTAGAATGGCACTATTAAAAGGCAATAGTGTAAGAATAGTGCAAGAATGGGCAAGAATAAAGTTTTTCTATTAATTAGCAATCACTTTGTTAATAGTCACAGAAATCAGACAAACATACCATGAAATATTTTTATACTAATATAATAAGCAAATGTTTATACAGGAAACAGTTACAGTACGAAGAATAGCCAGAATATGGTTACTGGTTAAAATATTGCAACGATTTTTGAGACTATGAGGAAAACCTCAAGAAATCTTATATTCAAGTTAAATCATCTTCCTGAATTTGCAAAACTTCACAAAGGAAAATATTAGTAAAACCGCCTTCTTTTACCGTATAGAACATGCAGTGTTTGTAGTCTGCTAGCATGGGCATTTTCTTTACATATGGAAAGCTGATATGTCTAAGGAAAGCCTTTCCCTTTTCTTTCCTAGATACTACAGTATCTCATTTATTTCTTTTCCTCCATATGGGTTATAGATAAAGTCATGTGTCTTGATTGTGTGGTTTGTGTAGGCTTATGTCTGTGCTGTTATTTCTGTTGTTACTGAGTTAGGTGTGGACTTTGGTCTGTTTGACTGACAGGACTGTAAAGAAGAATAGCTGTGGAGCATTGGCTAACCTGAAAAGTAAATGCCAAGAAAAACTGCACTCTGAACTTACAGTCTGTATGCATGATACAGGGACATGGTGGCCAATTTAGGCCAAATATGGTACCAAGTAAAAAGCACAAGGCAAGCAATAAAGATATGAAGCCATAGGGATTGAACCTAGGACCTCATACTGGCTAGACAGGCACCACCACTCCAACACCCAATATGGGAAATAGCCATCCCTATATTTGATTCAAAGAAATGATTATATACTAACATGTAGCATGTATATCTGCTATTTTCAGTTGGTGTTTACCCTCTAAAGATCTAGACAGTGTGGGCCTCACTGCAGAGCAGCAAATATAACAATGCTTTTCATTTGTTAGTGGTCTGAAGGATGAGGTTGTCCCTTCAGTTATTCTGGCTTGTATCATTTTTAAAAAGTAGAAATTCTGGGCCTGGGAGTTGGCTCAGTGCGTCAAAGCACCTGCTACCAAGGCTGAGAATCTGAATTCAATCCCTGGACCCACATGGTGGAAGGAAAGAATCAGTTCCTACAAGTTGCCCTATGACCTCCATATTCATGGGCACATAACAATAAATGTTTTTTTTTTTTTTAAACAACTAGAAATTCAACATGCAGTCATTAGCAGAAAAGCTTTCTATCTCATCTCATGATTTTAATGAGTTTATATTTGAAGTGTATGGTTTTTTTACCTTCTGTTACACATGTGGCTGTGTGGTATTTTCATAGGAATGTTTGTATCATTCTGTTGTGTTTGGAGAAATGCAGGAGAGTGAAGACATACTTCCCACTTAGTGTAGCTCACTGTCAAAAGCTGTGGCTGTGCAAGACAGGCTTCCCTCCCTCAGCAGGGGACTTTTTAGGGTAGCTTTCATGTGGACCAGTCTCCGGCACATAATAAAGCGTTGAGCATACTGTGGGCTCCACCCAGTAGATTGCACTAACAGCCTGCACTTGGAATGTTTGGAAGATGTCTTCTGGTAGATACATACACCACCACCACCACTACCACCACCCCCAATGACAGCACCGCCACTGAGAGCTCCTCATCTTGTTCTTCAAATACATTTTAAAGGGAAACATGGAAGAGTAGGAAGTACCTATCATCACCTTTAGAAAAGCGTGGCTTTCCTCCCTTGCTGTTATGGATCTCAACACAAGAGGGAACTCATTAACTCCCTGATTATAGGGATGTTTTGTTTCAAGACCTGAATCTTATCCCTATTGTAAGACTCTGTTAGAAACATAAACTTACATTTAAGCAACATACAAAAAAAAAAAAAAAAGGTATCTTTTTTTCACTTTCAGATCTCTTGACAAGAGATCTGAGTTTTGTTTTGTTTGTTATTTGAGGGGTACCTAGGGATCAAGCCTAGAGCCTCAAGCATGCCCAGAATTTAAATGTACTGAGGCTGAGGACGTGGCTGGGGGCTAAGAGTACTTGTTCTGTGTGCATGAGTTCTCAAAGCACACGTATAAATGCTAGGTATAACTGAGTAATGCCAATAACCCCAGCTCTCTCTCTCTCTCTCTCTCTCTCACACACACACACACACACACACACACACAGAGAGAGAGAGAGAGAGAGAGAGAGAGAGAGAGAGAGAGATGGAGAAACAGTGAATCAGGCAGTGACAAGCCCAGAGAAAATGGTTTAGAAATAACTAAACTTTCCTTAGTGGCACAGGAATAAAGATAAAGTCTCATGGAGCTGACGGTACAGTTTTACCCATTAGTAAATGCAGAGGGTGCTGTGATATGAAATGGAACTACAGTCTAAAGAGGTGAGCATCTTAGGAAGGGCTTCAGTGAGTGAGCATTAGAACGACTGTCTGGAACTAAATATGAAGTTGTTTCATTTGGTATGGGTGTGTTTCATAAATAACCAATAAACTAAAAGTGTACTAGATACAGCTTTCTGTATTTGTGGAGTTTCCATAGGGAAATTAAAAAAAAATGTGTAAGTGAACACAAGATTTGTGGTATGCTAAGTTCATTCTCCAGGATATGAACCTCTGTAGAAGACATTGCCAAGCACACACTATAGCTAAACTGAGGTTATTCTTGGTCTGGTTTTGAGCCTGTGGAAGTAAACTCCTGACCAGGGCAAAGCTGATGAGCTATGAGAAAGAATGGCAAATACAGTGTGACCGTGCAGTTTTCAGATAGGCAGAAGACTCATTTGGCAGGAGTGGGAGGGGACCTGGAGGTCATTGACTTCTCTGCCCGCCTTTGATGAGGATCATAACCGTCCCCACTAGCTGGAGGCCTGCTACCCCGCACAAGGCCAGCTGGGTATCTGTATGTTAGCACAGATGGGGTGAGAGAGGGTGAGACTGGTGAGTGACCAAATGTAGTATCCATGTGTGAAACTGGCAAAGGATAAATTAATGTAAATGTGCCACCTTATGTTAGTGTTCCAGGAATTTCGTGTGCTAATGTCCTTGCAGTGTTCAGCATTGGGCCATCATGACTCAATGTTCGCTCTCTAAAATGTGCCAGAGTTGAGCCCCAGTAAACTCTGATAAATGCTCATTCTTTCTGTTCGTGTCTTTCCTGTGATGTATAAGATATAGTAGAAACTGTCCTGGTCAACTGGACTTTGTTTATGAAATATTGGGGGAATAGGGCTGAAGTCTCAGACCAAATAAGGGGGTGGGTTCCATGGTACTTTAACTGTGAGCTGTACTTCTGCATGTATTTGCTCAGGGGCTAATGTCTGAATTTGAAAGTAGGTGCTTTGCTACTAAAATATTAGAAAAACATTTATGACTGTAGAAGGAGCTTCATGGTTTTTTTTTGTTTTTTTTTTTTGTTTTTGTTTTTGTTTTTTTTAGCCATAATGAACGGAAAGTGACCTGTAAGCATCCAGTCACAGGACAGCCGTCCCAGGACAATTGTATATTTGTTGTGAATGACCAGTAAGTAGATTTTCATGGAGTGCCTGCATCAGAGTGGGGTTGCATGGGATTGCTGTAACCTGAGTTTAATATAGTGCAGTCAGAACAGTTTTATCCGAACCTGTGTGGTCAAATATAACAGTGTCAGCTCTTTACCACAACAGAGAAACATGATCTAATTTTTTTCCTGAGAAATATAATTTTAGAAGCTGTTTCATGAGAACCTAATTTCTGTCTGTCAGCTCTACAGCTCAGGATGTCAGGCTGAAGAAACCTACAAACTTTGTTCAACTGAATTGAACTGTTTTCTTACCCTTCATTTTGGGGCTGTGATAATTAACCATTTTCTATAAATTTTTGTTTGTTTTTTGCCATATCTGCTCCTCCATTTTCTACCATTATATGGCATAAAACTATCCATAGCTATTAGTTATATCTAATGTTAGAATAACCAACATTGTAATTGTGTGTGTGTGTGTACTTGCAGGTATATAGAATTGAGCTCAGTGCCTCGTGATTTGTGTCACATGGCTCAAACCCTTGTAATTTGATTTTCTTTTCTTTTTTTTTTTAAATTTTTCAGTTGGGGGACCAAGAAGAGTATCAGCAATAATGCCTATTGAAGTATGGTACCGACTTACATTGAACTAGAAGTAGAAGTGTTGTTTTTTTTTTTTAAGTGGTGAAATATTACTTTATGGTACCTACTGTCACTATTTAAAAGAAGGGAAGCTTTATCCCTTAGGGAGGCCCTGCTGTGAAGCAGTTCGCATAGACAGCAGGCTGTAGCATTGGTATTTTTTCAGGACTGTTGCAACCATGACATCTGAAGAAAAGAAGGAGAGACCCATAAGTATGATAAATGAAGCTTCCAACTACAACATGGCCTCAGACTATGCAGCGCATCCTATGAGCCCTGTGGGCAGGGTAAGTGATTCTACTTGTGCTTAATCAGTTACGTGGACTAGTTTGTATCTATTGCTATTACTCATCACAGACTGAACATTGGAAGTAGAGAATAATAATTACATTTTTATTATTGCATGGAACTAATTATATTGGTGGAAATACACATAAAGAATAGATTCAAATATATATAATAAAATTTTAATGACCAACATTTCTTCTAGATTTTGAGCTGAAATAGTGAGTAATTTTGCAAACATTATGGACGTTTGTATGAGGGAATGGACATTCTATTGAGTCAACAAGACTGAAAGTCTTGTTGAAAATCAGAAAATAGCCCTAGAAATCACCTTTCTTTGTATATATTTCTTATACTTGGCATAAGCCAGCAAAACTGGAATTGTAATTTTTCCTGAAAATAACAAAGAAATATGGAAAAAGATAAAAATTATTAAAATGAAGACGATATTAAAGCTCCAGCCCTTAATACTACATGTTCTGTCCTGTTTTGTTTTTTTTGTTTGTTTGTTTGTTTTTTTGTTTTTTCTGTTTAGACGTCACGGGCCTCCAAAAAGGTTCATAATTTTGGAAAAAGGTCCAATTCGATTAAGAGGAATCCTAATGCGCCTGTGGTCAGGCGCGGCTGGCTGTATAAGCAGGTACGTCTTATCTCCATCCTCAGCTACCTGGATGAGATGGGGTTGAAGTCCTCCTGGGAAGTTGATTACTAAGGGTTTTAGGAAGGTAGAGTTCATTATTACTGTGTTGAAATTGTTTTCTGTGGGTTTCAGGTAGGTGGCTTGCAGTAGAGTCCCCAAAACCCATGGTTAGCCTGTGTTCACTGAATTTAAAAGCACTTTAAACCAGGTTCAGTAGCCTGTGCCTGTAATCCCTGTTCAGAAGGCATGGGGAAGAGTTCAAGGCCACCCTAGATTCAATTCCAATTACAAGGAAAATTTGTTTAATTACATCAATGGCTTTGTGATATTATTGCTTTTGGTGTACCTAATAATATTCATTCATTAAAACTCATAGTTAAGAATCCTCAGGTGGCTCAGTTGGTAAAGCATCAGACCTTAAATCTGGAGGCCTGGGGTTCAAACCCAAGTAGAATTACTTTCCATAAATATGGGCAGACACAGTGGCACACGCTGAAATCCCAGCACTTAAGGAGGCAGAGGCAGGAGGATCTCTGTGAGTTCGAAGCCATGCCAGCTTGTTCTACAGAGGGAGTCCAGGACAGCCAAGGCTACACAGAGATACCCTGTCTCCCTGTCTCCGAAAGAAAGAAAAGAAACAAAACAAAAGAATGACAACAAAAAACTCATAGTTAGCCGGGTGTGGTTGAGCATGCCTTTAATCCAAGCACTCAGGAAGCAGAGGCAGGTCTATCTCTGTAAGAGGCCTGCCTGATCTACAAAACGAGTTCAGGACAGCCAGGGCTGTTACACAGAGAAATGCTGTCTCTGGGGCAGGAGGATGAGAGTAACAAAACAAAAACAACTAGTAGTTAGTCTGGTGTGGTGGTGCACTCCTTTAATCTCAGCACTCAGGAGGCAGAGGCAGGTGGATCTCCCAATTCAAAACCAGCCTGGTCTTTAGACCTGGTTCTAAGACAATCAAGGCTTTCTTGTCTGTTCCAAAGAACAAATGTGAAGACTGAAAATGTTATAAGCCATTCATACACACGTCCCTTTGGGTTTTGGTTTCTCCCTTGGAGTTGCTGTTCATTTTAAAGACAAAGATTTTACGTTTAGGACTTTTTTCTACCCATATATCATCTCTATCATTTTAAGGTCACTATTAGATGAACTAGAAGTATATTAAGAAGTATTAATGCAGATGTCTAAACAAGGCTGGCATTTTTAGGACATCCAGTTTTCTCTAGCGCTCTTGCTTACTGAATGTGAGAAAGTAATTTTTATTTTAAGTGTGATCTTGTTTGAAAGCTGTAGGTTTATGAAGTAGGTCACTTAGCATTAGCCAGCAGGAGACAGTCTTCTGCAGGACGAGTAAAACCTAACTGCAGTTGGAAGGAGAAGTGTTCATTTCACTAAATCTGCATATTCATGCTTTTCTCACCCGTTCATTCTAATCATCTTACCTTTCAAATAATGTCAAGGCACATTTTTTGCTTCTTGTTGATGATTAACATATTTATTAAATCTAGCTACCAGAGTGAGTTTGTATACACCACATGCTTCCATTATCCTTGTTCTCAAATGCTCACGTGTTCAGAAGAGTGACTTTCAGATTGTTAATTAACAGAACACTAGTCACAGGAATTTTTGTTTTAAACTTTGTAGTCAGCATATGAGAATTTATGAGGAACCATGTGATGTTTTCATACGTGTGAGCATTATGATCAAATCAGGAGCAGCATGTCTGCATCCTCAAATATCTATCATTTCTCTGTGGCAGAAACAGGGAGTCTTTCTGATCTTTTGTAACGTGCTGTAGTCGCCTGGCTGTGCAAGTAGCAAATCAGAACTTTGTGATAGGTCTTTTAATTAGGCTATGTTACGTGCATATAAGAATTGCCTATGAAAAGTATCTAAAATCTGTTATTTAACGCAGGACAGTACCGGCATGAAGCTGTGGAAGAAGCGCTGGTTTGTGCTTTCTGACCTTTGCCTTTTTTATTACAGAGGTGAGTCTGTTGACCGTTCAAGCACTCTGCTTCATAGATGCAGTGTATGCTAAGAGCTGGATATGTCCTAAGAGAAAAGACATTAGTGCTTTTGCTGTTTACAGTGAACAAATAACATCAGGAAAGCCTTTCTTTGCTGACCCAAGGCTCAGATGCCCTAGAGTATGGCAAAAGACAAGAGAGGGCTCCAAGCAGATAGGAGACAGGGTCTTCACAGTGTGGCCCTGGCTGGCCTGGAGCTCACACTGTAGAGCAGGCTAGCCTTGGATTCACATAGGTGCAGCTGCTTCTACCTCTCAAGCACTGGTATTAAAGGGGTGCACCGCTGTACCTGGCTGAGCAGTGGTCTGATTTTGGTCTGCTCCCTGAATTCTGATTGATGTTGTGTGGAGAGCTGAGGAATCGTCACCCTATTGCACTGTCTTTAAATACAGAACCTGACAGTGTCCTTGGCTGGGTACTGTTTTTTAGAGATAACTTAGCACTTTATACCTGAGTTGGTCTAGAACCAGTGAACCTGCCTCAGCCTCATAGTCTCTAGGATGATAGACATAATCGTCACTGCCAGCTAAGATTTTTGTATGTTAATTTTGTCAGATCTAGCTGTGGGTTTATAGATTGCTTATAAATGTGATTTTATACAGTGAGTGTAATGTCAGGAACTATTATAATGGTTTGAAGAGTGAAAAACATGAATTACTAATATGAATGTGTATATGTATGTATATATGCATATATACACATGTATTTACACACACGTGAACATACAAACATACATAATTTGGATTATTTGTTATTGTTTATTGAGACAGTCTGGCTCAGTCCAGGCTGGCCTTGAATTTGTACTTCCTTCCTCTGTATTTTGTTGTATTTTTTTAAGATGCACATGCTTTTATGTGTATGAAGTTTTGCCCACATGTGAATGTACACCACCTGTGGGCTGGTGCCCAAGGAAGGCAGAAGAGGGCATCAGATCCCCTGATACTGAAGTTCCAGAGAGTTGCCAGCTGCCATGTGTGGGTGCTGGGAAACAAACCTGGCTCCTCCATAAGCTTATCAAGTGCTCTTCGCCACTGAGCCATCTCCCAGCCCTGTTGTGTCTTCTTAGTTATATGTAGTTGGCTTTCTTTTTCTCTTCTGATTTTAATTTGAACTCCTACCTTATTGGGTATCAGAGAAACTATATACACTATCTTATTTTCTACGTTTGCTCGCTAGATTGACTACCATCTTCTGACTCTCCATCTGGGGACAACAGATAGTTGCTCTTGTCCAGTGCAGGCATTTGTTGTTTTCTTAGCATTAGGAGACTGGTGGTTGACTGTTGGATGTGATGGATTCCTTTCTAGCTTTTATGTGTTCACCTATTTCTCTCAAGAAGTTTATTCTTTCCTTTGCTCTTGGGGTTAAGACTTTCTTCTTCATCTGTATATAGTATTCCATCATGTATCTTTGGTGCAGACTTAATGGTCATGAATGATACATCTTAGCTTGCTTGTTTTGATATCTTTCTTACTCAATCTCAACATAAGTCCTCAAGCTGTAATACATGTAGAAGAGATCATAGGGGATAGCTCTTTGACCCTGGCCTTGGCAGTGACATTTTGGAAAGGTGACTGCATTAAACTAAAGCTTCTGCAAAACAGGAAACAGTCATCACAGTGAAAATACTTACAAGCCACACATTTGATAAGCAATGTTAAATTCATATCAAACCCTTACAATTTACAACTTAATAGCAGAGTTGAGAAATATAATGTTTACCAATTCTGTTGAGGACCCCATAGTTTCCTAGACTCAGCCTCTTGACTGTGTTTATGGTTCTTGGACATTGTGCTCATGCTCATTTACTTAGTTTTCAGTATTGATTGACTGTAGTGGACCTTGTCTTCCATTCCTGTTATTATTTTCCAGCTTGGCCAAGGCTACTGGTGATGCTTTCTACTTTGTTTATCCTGCCTAACTTTCTTGGGCATTGCTCAATCTTTTCTCTGTGTCACTGATTATCCTTCCTGGGTCCTAGAGTAAATGTATCTCTGCTTGCTTGTATCATCTTTGAAATCTTCCAGCAGTTGCCTGAATCACCGTCATGTTGTCTCACTTTTCTAACTTTTTCATGTGTCTGGGTTATGATTTGCAGGTCCTGTAGTTTGGTTATTTCTTTTGATTTTATTTGGGAATCTGCTTTTTGCTCAGACTACACTTGGGAGCTAAATCCCCGGGACCATTCAGAGGAGCAAGCCCACTGCTTCTGGGTGAGGTGTTTACTTCCTTGTACCCACCTGGAGCTGTGTCAATTTTTTTCTCTCCCGTGAATTATCAAAGCTTTTCCTCTCTCTGTCTGTGATAGTCTATTCTGTCTTAGATGACTCTTTCTAATGGGACCATATGCCGGCAGCTTCTAGACCCTCATCTTACCCAGAAGTCCCCGCGCTGTGATTTTTAAAATTACCTTTGGATTATACACTTTTATTTATTTATTTTGTACATTTTTTTAAATTTACTTTTGGGTTAGACACTTTGATAGGTATAGCCACCTGCCAAAGTAATAAAATGCATCTCAGTCTTCTAAATGTAGTTACTAGAATTGTTTTCGTCAGCTCACTACCCAGTCAGCTGGGGTGGAGGAGTACTGCTACATCCGAATTACCAAACCTGTACAAGCCGTCAGCCCAGCATAAGCTGTGCTGTCCTCTGTCTTTAGCTGGCACCAGACCTACTATATAGTTTTTGTCATTTGAATTCCCCACGAGCTACTTGTATTTTCTTGCTTTTCCAGTATATTTATTGACAATTTGTGGAGTATAAAATGATAGCAAGAAAATGTTTACTATCCCCAATTTATTTCTAGAATAAAAATTTGATAATAATAATTTATGACAAAAGGAATACCAAATTCTTTGTCGTGGTTTTTCTCCATCACTGCCGTCTGTATGATGTGGGGATAGGCGTGCATGTGTCACAGCAGATGTGTTGAGGCCAGCGAACCCTGACGGGAACCCTTCTCTCCTACTACCTCATGGGTGCTGTGGCTTAAGCTCAACTCATGCAGCAAGTGTGCAAGTGCTCGCACCAACAGGGATGTTTAAGACACACCATCCGGCCAGACAATGGTGGCCCATACCCTGTAATCCCAGTACCCAGGAGGGAGAGGCAGGGCGATCTCTGTAAATTTGAGGCCAGTCTGGTCTACAGATTGACTTCCAAATCAACAAAAAGAAACCCTTTCTCAGAAAAAATTCTGTTTAAAAAAAAATAAAATACAGAAAAGGGTCAGGAAAGTGGCTCAATAGGTAAAAATGCTAGCATCACAAGCACTGTGGCCCCCAGAGTTCAGCTCCCAGAACTCATCTGAAGACCTGGGTGCTGTGGGTGGCACCTGTGGTCCAGCATTGCTGCAGCCAGATGAGAGGGGAGCTAGGAGAGTCAGCTGAAGCTCACAGGCCAGGTAACCTGGAAAGAGCAGCACAATGGCAGAAGAGAAAGAACTATCAGCAACGGGAAAGAGGTTATTCTTGACCTCCATGTGTATGCCATAGTACATATACACAAAATAAAATTTTAATTCATAAAAAACAAAAGTAAATAGAAGCCATATATTATATTTACTTATTATAGTCACCTCCCTCTTATATTCAATATATGTATTAATTTTTGTAGTTTCTCAACTAATAGGAAAAAATATGAAAAGTGTATGGTGTCCTAATATTTAATTTTACATAATACAGAGTTTATTAACCACTTTACTCTGCTGAGGTCCATGTGTATATAAACTCATTTAACCTTGCTACAGCCTTTGTGTTGAGCATTGTTACCTGAAGTTTGCTTAGACGATGACACACTGAGCATCAGTGATTTGCCATAGATCTCACAACTTGTGTCATGGTGGAAAACACCCCCAGGTAATCCTGGAAAACCCCATGTGACACTGATGAATATATTTGATAAAAGTGACCTTTGTATGAAATGTGATTTGATGAGCTGTTGCTCATGGACCATTTATGTAATTGGACTTACAAATTAGGGTGTGATCATTCTTGTTAATTGATGGCTGCTTCCCAACTTTTTCCCTTAGATTTTTAGGCTGGATATGAACCTTTGTTGTTGTTGTTGTTGTTGTTGTCTGTTCGTTTGTTTTTGAGACACGGTCTCTATGTAGCCCTGGTTGGCCAGGAACTCACTGTGTAGATCAAGCTGGCCTCAAACTACCTACCTCTTCCTCCTAAAGTGCTAGGATCAAGGGGATGAGCCACCAAGTCTGGCCTAGTTTTACTGTATACTCTAGAGATGAAGAGGTGTTTACATTTGTAATGTCTTGTTTTGTGAAGGTGTGCAGGCTGACCTCCAACTCTAGATCCTTTTGCCTCGGTTGCTGGGACTGCAGGCATGTGCCACATTGTTGATGTGCCACCTGGCTCGGCTAGTTTGTGATCATTGCTTTAAATAGGGAGCAAGCATGATAGAGAATATTCTTTCTCATTCATAATTTTTTCATTCATGAGTTTGTCAGCCAAGTACAGTTTCATTAGCTTGTCTGGTGGGTCCATAACAGTGACAGGGTGTAACAAGTTTTCTCAAACATCCCCAAGCAGCAAGTTCCTTGTGAGAAATGAATGTTTGATCTTTTTTTCCTCAGCATAATGCACTTGCTTTGTGGATCTGCCACTCAAGCCCTCAGCTTCACTATGTATCTCAGCTACTAGTAAAGACAAAGCTAAAGCTTCATAGCTTTTAAATGTACAACTTTTATGGCTTAGTTGAAAATACTTTTTCATGTGAACGTATCTCCTAAGCATATCCTTGGACAGCTGCTCCCACCTCTCTAGAAGCCCTCAGACAAATTGCCAGTCCGAGAAAGACAAGGAGCAGTGTGAATAGAGCATGGGCGTATTAGAACATGGGGCAAGTGGCAAAACTCCCAAAAAACAAAAATTCTGATTAAACACCAACTTCTCTTTTAGATGAGAAGGAAGAGGGCATTCTGGGAAGCATCCTGTTACCTAGTTTTCAGATAGCCATGCTTACTGCTGAGGACCACATCAATCGCAAATATGCTTTTAAGGTAAGGAAATGAGCACTCTCTGTTTTAAACTTTAGCAAGCATAAATTGATCCATAAACTATTGTAAGAAAGAACTGGTAGTGATGTTTACATTTGAAGTACTGGTGGTGCTGGAGAGATATTCAGTGGTTAAGAGCACTAGCTACTCTTCGAGAGAACCCAGATTTGATTTCTAGTGTCCACAACTGTCTGTAACTCCAGGCTGAAGAGATCCTGTGCCCTCTTCTGACACAGAGACACATGCAGGCAAAGCACTCATGTACATAAAATATAAAATGTTAAAGTGAAAATAAAGCATATTGGTTAGTGATGTTACTGTCTTGCCAGAAAATACTGTCCTTTTAGGAAGCACATGCTAGCATATTCCAGACTGTTTTCAAATGTTTCTGCAGAAAGCACAGCACAGTGAACATCGTGGATGACTGTCCTAGTGACTGACTGTCTTACTCATCAGTCTTCTTTCAGTTACTCTCTGAATTTTGTCAGATAAAATATATGGGAAGAGTATTGCTGAAGTCAGCTCTTCAGTCTGGCATATTTACAGATTTAGGATAGCCTCAAAGACATTCTCAAGTAATAATGCTCATCTCCCACCTTTAAATACAAGCCACCCGAGTCCCTGCTGCGACTGTCCTTCACCCACTCGTCTTTTGAGAGTACACTTTAATGCTAATTTGATGGCAAATATTTGTTTTTAAAAAAGCATGCTACATTCTTTGCTTTTAGGGTTATAGTTAAAATAAATTTCAGAGATGATCCGGCCTGGATTTGGGTTTTTGCTTTTTGTTTGTTTGTTTGTTTCCCCTGGTTAAATATATTAATAATCATGACAAATTAATCTGGAAATTTTGTTTTAAGAATAAAGGTACATTTTCTTTCAACATTAGGATCCTATGATTTTTTTTTTTTTTTTTTTTGGCATACTAGTAGCTTTTCACTTTATCCCTTTGTGATTTTTGGTAGGGTGAATTCTTTTTTTGGGAGGGGGCATGTCTTAGTCATTCTCAGTGTTTGGCTTATCTATATTTTACAATTAATTTATTAAACTTCCCAAACACTTGAAAAAAAAAATAAAGGTACAAATGAAGACAAAATACACTATTTTAACAATGAAAATGTTTGTGCCTTTACAAAATGCATACAATATTAAACATTCCTTTTAAAGACTATTCAGGACTATATTAGAATATCAGTTTTGTCACTAATTAATATGTTGCATTATTATTAACCATGAAGCTATAAAAGAGGTGGAAGACTAAGAAGGCTTGAGCCAGGTATGAAAGTGAACAAGGCCTGAGAGCAAGGGGGCGTGGCTTCAGGTATGAGTAAACTAGCACAGAAGCAGGGAGCCTACAGCAGCGAGAAACTGAATAGAGCTGGGGCTGGCAGTGTACCTCAGAGTGTCTCCTTTTTATAAAGCCTGGTTCCGTTCCCAGCATCACAAACTGTTGAGCTTCAGATAAGAATTTAGTAATACACATGTCTAGAGCTGAGTGAGCCATGGTTTAAACTTTTCATCTGTTAATAAATTTAGCAAATATTTATTAAATTTGGGGACATTTTATCTAGTCTCTTAGATTCTTCAAAACAAAATACTGCAGTATAAAAAGAAAAAAAAACATTCTGCAGGGTCTGGAGAGATGACTTAGCAGTTAAGAGCACAAAGGACCTGGGTTCAGGACCCAGCACCCACATTGCAGCTCACAACCATCTGTAACTCCTATTCAGGAGATCTAATGGCCTCTTCTGGCCTCTGAGGACACTGCATGCATGTAATGCACAGACTGACATGCAGGCAAAAATCCAGCACATACAAACTTAAAAAGTAGAAGTAATAAAAGTCAGTTTAACATTGCAGATTTTTTAAAACTTTTATTCAATGTGGCCACAGGGGTCTGATATAGTATCTCTGTAACTATTAATTTGATGTTGCTTTTCTTTTGTCTGTAACAATAGTAATTACTGTTTCAACTTTTCTTTTGTGGTGTTTCCCCTAAATTTTGAGCTACTGTGTGACTGCATTTGCTGACTTTGAGTCTACTCTTACCAGCATGGTAAGTAGGAATGTCACAGTCTCAAGGGGGGTGGAGGGCTGTACAAGTGGCTTTGCTTGTGTTGTCTCAAGGCTTTGACAGGATCTTCTCACCACCAGCCTAGTTCCTTCCACAATCACAATCATCCGTTTTAGCACCAGAGCACTTGAGCTCTGTCTTAGACTGTTTTAACAGTTACTCTTTTGTCACCATGGAGATTTGTCAGTTAGGGCACTACACTCTTCACTGTGCTCATGGACTGTATGTGTATGTGTTAAGCTAATTTGACCTTGGGGATCAAACAGATGATAGGATCTTGGTGTGGAAAGTGTGAATACAGATGTCAGCTCTTGTTCAGCTCTTAACTAACCATCTGCTTAACACTCTACTCACCTCACTTAGGCTGCGGTGGCTGTTGTTCATTTGGCCGAGTCTTCAGGTATCTAATGGGAAATGACCACGAATTGCTAAATGGGAACAGAGATTGTTTCCTCGTCCCTGGTGTCAGCCTTCTCCTCCCTCCAGCTGGTCTTCTGTATCTGCTGTGGGTCTGCAGTGCTCCCCCACGGTAGCAGGCGCACCAGTGCCTTCATTTTGATTTTCTGATTTTCTGATTTAAAAAAAAAGCACCATAAAAGAAAGCACAGCAGTGTTTTTCATCCTCTCAAACTGCAGGTGTTTCCATTTTAACTTGGAAACCTGAAAAAAAAAGCTAGAAGACAGTGCCATTGGCATCATTTATTCCTAAGTGTCCATACGGTGTCTGTGAAAGACCGTAAACAGCATCTGCTTTTAAAGACTAAAGCCACTGATAACAAACAGGAGAGTGCTTGCCCTGGCCTTTACAGTTCTGTTGTTGATGACTCAAGTAAGCCCTACTTTTGTGTTGTCTTGCTTGGTTTTGTTCTTGAGACTGGGTCTACACTGTGGATCACAGTGTTCTATATCTCAACACGTAGTTCAGGGTGGCTCAGAATGACCCCTCAGCCTCCCAAGTGCCATGTCTGGATAGAAGTATTACCCTAAGTGAGAATTATTGGGTGCGCCAAGTTAAAATGGTTAGAGTAGAGTAAGGCAGATCCACAGGCATAATTTGAACATTCTTCCTAAAGCACATTTGTGCAGCCTTAAAGTATATGGAATTGAAGAAACATTTAGAGGACAATTAATGTTGCACCCTGCTGGGGTCATTGTGTGTATTCTTTTTTAAATCATTTCTGTATCTTATGTAAAAGACAAATCTACTTTCTTTGAAATTTCATAGTAATGGTCAGATAAAGAGCCTCTTTTTCTTTTCTTTTTCAGAATCCATATCATGATAAAGTGATGGTGTCATTTTCACTCAGGCAGCCCATCCAAACATGCGGACCTATTATTTCTGCACCGATACAGGAAAGGAAATGGAGCTGTGGATGAAGGCCATGTTAGATGCTGCCCTGGTGCAGACAGAACCTGTGAAAAGGTACAGCCCTGTAGGAAGCAGCCGTGGTTTCCATCTTCATTTACTCCTGCCTCACAAATGCCGTCGTCATAGTGCATGGTGTTCTCTCAGGCCTACTGCACGGCCAAGAGTCTTATTTCACCTGCATTTTATTTCACCTTCTTCTTGCCACATTTCACCTGTCAGTGTACTGGGGCAATTCTAGAATCCTAACGTTCAAAACAAATGTTCTTTTTTCCTACAGAATTACCTTTAATTTCCGGTGAGTACATCTTTTTATTACCTTAAAGCTGGGCAGATCTGTGTGCTTCATGGTAGAGGTTTTTTAAATATCCCAAATCATAGAATTTAACTTTACAGTTAATTTCATTGTATTTTTATATTGTATTAGTATTTGGGAAGTAAATAAATAACAACAAAACGAGTTTTGTTTTATTGTTGACGAGTTTTATTTTGTTAATATTTTCTGATTAATTCTGATTATCGTTTATAGAACATTTAAATTATTTCTAAATGTATCCCTTTCTTGATGACCTGTGCCTTAAAACTGTGGTACTCAGATTTCTTGCTAAAATTAATCCTAGAGTTGTTTATTTTCTTCCCTGCTTGAAGACAATGAACCGATCATGTTAATATTTCTCATTATACTGAGAATTAGTCTACTAGGCATGGTGGCACACACATTTCTCTGCACATGTGTGTGTGTGTGTGTGCATGCTTGTGCTACAGGGTTTGTTGGAAGCACAACTTTCAGGAGTCCGTTCTTTGTTTTCACTCCATGGGTTCCAGTGATCACACTCAGCACCTTTCCCGTTCAGCTGTCTCAGGCACGGTTCACGCTTACCACTGAAGCATCTCAAACTCAAAGCCAGCCTGGGCTAAGTCGTGAAAACCTGTCTCAAAAAGAAGCAGACCTAATCAGAGAAAATGCATTTCTCAAAGTGTAAAAATAAGAGGTTGAGTGAATGTGCTTTTGGGGTGGCTTAGGTTCTCTATGTAGTCCTTGCTGTTCTGGACTCATATGTAGATCAGATTGGCCTTGAACTCAACAGCTCCGCCTGCCTCTGCCTCCCAAGTGCTGGAGAAGACACTTCTTTAAATTCCCTATAATTTGAAGGTTCATAATATAATTAAATTTTGTTTCTAGTCAATGATAATTAAATTCACATCTTATATAAGAAAACGGCTAATTTGTGCATTTATAGATTTCTCCCGTGTGTGTGTTCCCAGTTAGCGATCAAGCCTAATTACATCATATATACTATGCTCATTTTAATGTTTTGGTTTTGTTTTTGTTTTTTGTTTTGTTTGTTTTGGCATGTTGTCTGAAAGAGCACTTTGAGTCTTTATGAGATTCTTGGAATTTTTTTTTTTTTTCTCCTCAGACAGGGTTTCTCTGGATAGCCCTGGCTGTTCTGGAACTCACTTTGTAGATCAGACTGGCCTCATTCCAGAGATCTGCCTCTGCCTCCTGAGTGTTAGGATTAAAAGTGTGTGCTGCCACCACTGGCTCTTATTTCTGCTATTGTTTTTAAAACCCAAATCCTCATGCTGGTCCCCAAGCATGGACATAAAACAGGTTCTAGGTTTTTGTTGGTAGTGGTGGTGGCTATATTGGAGATCATACCCAGGGCATTGTGCATGCTAGGCAAGGGCCAAGCCACCAAGCCATAGCCCTAGTCCCTGGGATATTTGATCCCAGAACTTGAGAGGAAAGATAGTTAGGCGTTCCCAGTAAGTGTACAGAGTGGGTAAAAGTGTTTGTCTTGAAAGCCTGATGGCCTGATCAGTCTTAGAACCCATGGGGAAAGGAAATGACTCTAGAGCACTGTCCTTTGATCTCCACATGCGCACTGTGGCTTGTGTGACCTCACACACACTGATAATAAGTAATAAATAGAAAGCTGAGTGTGGTGGCCTTTGCATCCATCCCAGCACTTAGGAGGCAGAGGCAGGTGGATCTCCAAGTTTGAAGACACCCTGGGCCACAGAGTGAGTTCCAGGACAGCCAGGGCTACACAGAGAAACTGTCTCAAAAAAAAAATTATAATAATAACAACAATAATACTTAAGTACAAGAGTATTTTATTTTCTGTATTATATACTATGCTTTTCTCAAATTTAACTTATTTTCATTTTCTGTTGTTGAATTTGCAATTATAAAAGCAGGAGCCAGGCTTGGTGGTACACTCCTATAATCCTAGCACCTGAGACACAGAGGCAGGAAAATTATGAGTTGCAGGCCAGCCCTAGGCAATACAATGAGACCTTGTCACCAAAATGTAATAAATTAATTTAAACCACACATAAAAATGTGGGGCATGAGAGATGGCTCAATGATTAAGAGCACTGGCTGCTCTTCCAGAAGACCCAGATTTGATTCCCAGTACCCCACACAGAGACTCACAACCATCTGTGACTCCAGTTTCAGAGGATCTGACTCCCTCTTCTGGCCTTCAAAGGCACTGCATACATGCAGGCAAAAATGTCCATACACATTAAAACAGTAACAACATGTATCAACTTACAATATGAGATGATATGGGTGAGTTACTTGTTTATATTTCCTTTGTCATTGACATGGCCAGCTCATGTCATATAGTACACATTCATTCAAGAGGTCACTCACTCCCTACATCCAGTTTTTAAAGTTCATTTCTGCAAAATTCATAGAGGATTTCACACAGAAACTACAATGTTATAGGGCCCTGGTATGTAGCTACCTGACAGCATTTTTCAAAAATCTGGGTCTAATATACTTTCTCTGAATAATTCCCATCGCTTAGCACATTATCTTCATTTTGTATAATCTCATTGTATTTTTAAAGAAAATCTAGGTGTTTTGCCTGCGTATTCATCTGTGCACTACATATCTTCTTGGCGCTCAAGAGTGCCAGAAGAGGTGCTGGGAATTGAACCCTCATCCTCTGCAAGAGCTGCAAGTGCTCTTAACCACTGAGCCATCTCTCTCCAGCCCTCTGTGGCGTTTTCAGTTTGTGGGTGTTAGGCCTCACTCATGCTAGGCAAGCATCTCTGTCACTAAACTATACATCAACCCTATATTTTTATTGTCAGTTGGCATACAGTAATTGCATATTTTACTGTACATACAGTAGTTAATTATACATGGGACAGTTCACACGGATGCAATGTGCAGTGATCAAATTGGGATAATTAGCATAGCTATCATCTCAGGCTTTGATCTTTTTTTTTTTTTTTTTTTTTGGCTAGGGACATTAAAAATCTATACTAGTTGTTTTGAAAAGCCATTATCAACCATAGTTGTCTTACAATGCTATTAAGATATAGAAATGTTTTCTCCTATTAAGCTGTACCAATTATCTATCCTCTCTCTACCCACTCCCCCCTTCCTTCCCTTCCCTGGCTCTGGTAACTACTTTTCTGTTTTGTTTGTTTGTTTGTTTGTTTGTTTGTTTTGAGGTCAGTATTCTAGGTTCTGCATGTAAATGAAAGGATAAGGTGTTTTTGGACTAGGCTTATTTCACTAACATAAATATCTCTGGGATGTTCATTACAAATTCGTCATCCAGCCATCTTGGCTTTTGTGAAGATTGTCTTTTGTGCTCTATTAAGCATATAAGTTTAGGACTCTCCTTGACATATTGATTGGATAGATTCCCAGTAGTGGAATTGCTGAATCATACTTGTTTTGTTTTGTTTTTCTTGTTTTATTTTATTTTATTATTTATTTATTTGTTTGTTTATTTATTTATTTTTGAGTCAGAGTTTTGTTTCATGTAGCCCAGGTTGGCCTCAAAGTCAGTATAGATTGAACTCCTGATCCTGGTAACCACAACTGGGGTTTCAGGTGTGAATTACCACACCTGTCTTCAGGTAGCAGCTCTGTTTCTTGATTTTGAAGAACCCCTACCATTTTTCTTAATAGCAATACTAGTTTCCAATGTCTTTGCTTTTGTGGCTTAAGTATCACTTTTTTTCCCCCAATTTTTTTTTTAAGATTTATTTATTTTATTATGTATACAGTGTTCTGCCTGCAGGCCAGAAGAGGATACCAGATCTCATTATAGATGGTTGTGAGCCACCACGTGGTTGCTGGGAATTGAACTCAGTACCTCTGGTAGAGCAAGCAGTGCTCTTAACCTCTGAGCCATCTCTCCAGCCCCAAATATCACTTTCTTAAATCAGATATGTTTCTTGTGGCTTATGTTCTCATGGTTCTCAGGTTTATTCCATTTAAATAAGAGTCATTGCATGCTTATGTTTCTTTAATGATAAATCTTTGGAGAAAACATTACAATTCTAGTCGAAAAGAGTAGTTATAGTTGATTGGACTTAGTTTTACATTTTTAAAGATACTGAGCATTCAGTGTTTAAACAACCTCTCCCTGCAGACTTCAGTGAACTTTTGGTGTCAATTTCTTTGAAGGGAAGAAGCCCCAAAACCCATTTTTGGTCTTTTTGGTTAGTTGCTTGTGAGGTTTTTGTTTTGTTTTTTTAAGACAGGGTTTCTCTGTGTAGTCTTTGCTGTTCTGGAACTCAATCTGTAGACTAGGCTGGCCTCGAACTCAGAGATCCACCTGCCTCTGCCTCCTCAGTGCTTGGGCTACAGGTGTGCGCCACCCCCACCTGGCTAACAGAGCCCACCTTTGTAAACCCTCCAGTATCTGCTGTTTACATCTGAGTGCTCTGTATCTAACTTTACAAGTGTCTGTGCAGTGTGTGATTTCACTCTGAGAGGAGCCACTTTTGAATGTTGGCTAGAGCCTATTCCCTGGTATCTGTAGAATCTGTATTTCTGCACTTAGAGTTAAATGCGTGAGTATGTGTGTTCTCCATACATCATAGTTCATATTCCACACATCCCATTATGTAACAAGAGTACTGCCCTTGCTATAGCATGTGTGCTGAACCACAGTAGCATGTTATGCTGAAATGCAAGAGGCAGGGCACTTCTGTGAATTCCCACCGAATGGAGGGATCATGGCAAGTTCATGTGGGTTCACACACTCAGCTTGATTTTTATGAAAGCCCAGGTATGATTGACTCAGAAAAACACCTTCTCATCAAAAAAAGCTGTAGTAACTGAGTAGTAAACTCAGGTGGCCTAGATGCACAGTTGATGAACATTTTCTTCTCTTGGGCACATGGACCAGGCACAAGGATTCCACAGAGCTGCTTGATAAGCTAGAACAACAGTAAAGGCAGTAAGGGCCATGCCAGCTATCAATTGGGTCTTATAACAGTCGTCTGACATTGCTGAAGCTACTGTGTTCACCAAAAAAGGAAATTGAGGCAATGTAAGCTTCTAAACCTTGCCCAAAGATGCAGCTAGTTAGGTAAATATGCCCACTGAGGCTGGGCATGGTGGTACATGCCTTTAAATCCAGGCAGAATCAGACAGTTCTCTGTGAGTTCTGGCCCAGCCAGACCTACATAGTGAGACCCTCTAGTTAAAAAAAAAAAAAAAAGCTCACTGAATATAAGCCAGCTTGGCTCGGAGAACTGAACCATGCTATCTGGGTATGATGTCTCACACCCATTATGTCAGCAGCCATAGCACTTGAGAGGCAGAGTCAGAAGTTTGAGGGCAACCTGCTACATATGACATCACTCCAAAAAGCTACATACAGGTGCATACAAACAAGAAGTTAGTCATGAAGTTTACCTCTTTGGTGGCATCAGACTGTAATTTCCTATTGCAGCAGCTTCCGTAGCCAGGCTCATGATTGTCTCCTGATGAGCTGGTCATCTGACTGAGAGCCACATTCTTATTTCAGTTGACTGGCTCTTTTAAGGGGCTGTGGCTCTGTTTCCAGATTGCCGCTGGCAAAGGCATGCAGCGCTTGTCTTGGTAGCTTTTGCCTGTGTTTTCTTGCATTCTAGTGTTACCCTGCATGTGATGGCACAGCTGTGAGGTTCTGTGTCAGCTGTGCTCTCTCACTCTGTTAGTTTGCTTGTTCTCATCCAAGTGGTTTTCCTAGGTTGAGTCTAAGGTGTAATTACACACCTGTTCCATCTGTTTACTGTGCTTTTCTCCTCTGCTTTCAGAGTGGACAAGATTACAACTGAGAGTGCATCAACTAAAGAAACCAATAGCATTCCCAACCACAGAGTTCTCATTAAACCAGAGGTCCAAAACAATCAGAAAAATAAGGAAATTAGCAAGATTGAAGAAAAAAGGGCCTTAGAAGCTGAAAGATACGGATTTCAGAAGGATGGTCAAGACAGGCCATTAACAAAAATTAACAGTGTAAAGCTGAACTCCCTGCCATTGGAATATGAAAGCGGGCCAGCCTGCCCACCCCAGAATGTGCACTACAGACCCATCAATGTGAATAGTTCAGATGGCAAAACAGTGAATGTCAGCTTGGCAGATGGCCGGGGTGGAAGTCACCCAAATGCAGGGCCTCTACCCACAGAAGCTGATCGAGTCATTCAGAGAACAAATTCGATGCAGCAGTTGGAGCAATGGATTAAAGTCCAGAAAGGACGGGGTCTTGAAGAAGAGCCCAGGGGGTAAGTACCTAGCGTTACCAGCCTGGTTTCTTTGATACCATGCTGGTTGCAGTACTGGTTTTGAAATATGTATAGGTTTTACACTTTGATTGCTGTGTCTTACTCGTGGTAATCATATTTCTGTGCATAGCGTAGCTTTGGTGACGAGCCACTCTTTGACTCAGAGCAAAGGACAGGCAGCAGTTGAGGGGAGAGATAAGTTTTAGGGAAGTGAAGAGGGCTTCTATGCTTGCACCTTCACACCTTTCCTCTCCTGGAATTCTGAACTGTAACGAACCAGTGGGAATTCATCTCCAGCCCGAATCTCTCTTCCATTAGTAGCCTCTACAGCCTTGTGGGCTGAAGGGTCTCTATAGGCAAGAAACCTGGAACCAGGTGTGGTAGCACACAGCTGTAACCCCAGGATTTGGGAATAGAGACAGAGGGAACGAGTTCAAGGCCGGCCAAGTGAAACCTTGCCTCAACAAAACCAAGATTGTAGATCAGTGTGTCTTGTATGCCTTAGGTTTGATTCTCTACAAAAAAAAGAAGGTGGGGGGGAAGAAGATCTATAACCCTTAGCTTGTAACCTGATAGTTTGGAGAGAACTTACCTGTAAGTGAAGAGAGGAGAGGGACTGGCCGCGGTGCCTGTGAGCCTACATCTGTAGAGTGCAGTCTGCCCTTGAGCACGGTTTAGATGTTGCCAGTGTATCTCGAGTGGTTAAAAGTGTGAAGGTGAATACATTCACCTCGTGGAAGGCTGGAGAGAAGGAAGATTCTAAGGAAAAACCTGCAAGTTCCAGGTGTGGTGGTACATGCTTCCCGCTAATCCTAACACCCAGGTGGTTGAGCCTAAAGACTAAAAGTCTTAATTTTAATAAAAGGAGAGAGTACCTAAGAGAACAACCATTTGAGATATAAGAAATTTTAGCACTTGCAACAATTATCAGGAATATATGCTGAGAAGTATGTACATTTGAAAAAAATTTTTGAGAGATTAGCCTCAAGCTTATATCTGTCTCTGCCTCACACGTGCTAAAGTTGTGCCCCAGCACATACACACACAGAAAGATATGTTTATTTTATGTGTGTGAATGTTTTACTTGCATGTATGTTTGTACCAGGAGAGGGTATCTGTGATCCCCTATAAATGTAATTTCCGCTCTTCTTCCAGAGCACCCAATACTCTTAAGCATAGAGCGTCTCTCCAGCCCCTCAAAACACAGAGTTTAAGGCAGGTGGGTTGCTGCACCCTTGTAATCCCAGCACTCAGGAGGCTGAAGCAGGAAATGGCTAGTGCAAGGCCAGCCTGGGTCATAGCATTTAGTCGCAAGCTTGCCAGAGCTACATAACAAAACCCATCTGATTCTTCTACCTCTGTGGAGATTAAGGGTGTGCTCCACCAATGCCTGGCTATAACTTCCTCTTCCTTCCTTCCTTCCTTCCTTCCTTCCTTCCTTCCTTCCTTCCTTCCTTTCTTTCTTTCTTCCTTTCTTCCTTCCTTCCTTCCTTTCTTTCTTTCTTCCTTTCTTTCTTTTCTTGCTTTTTTTAAAGCAAGGTTTTAGAGAAAGCAATTTTTTCATTTTAAATGCGTTTTCCAAATTACCTTTCATCTTTTGTATTGATAGTGTAGTTTGTGTTGTAAGCATACAGTGATTTCCAGGCAGAGCTCTATGTAATTTAATTGGGGGTGTTTTTGTTTGGTTTTTGGGGGGTTGTTTTGTTGGTTGGTTGGTTTTTATTTTTTATTTATTGTATTTCTTTTTTTGAGACAGGGTGTCTCTGTGTAACAGAGCAGCTGTCCTGGACTCACTTTGTAAACCAGGCTGGCCTCCAACAGGTTGCCTCTGCCTCTCTGCCTCTCTCTGCCTCCGCCTCAGATTAAAGGAGTGAATCGTTTGAATGATACTGTGGTTTACTACTGAAACTTGTGAGGTGTAGGAATGTTTTCCAGTTCTGCTCAGTGATAGTGGCTGGCCTGCAGCATCAGAGGCTATCTTCAGGAGTGTGGCTCTAAAGCCTGCCTAGGCTGGCCTTGTTAGCTCTCCCAAGGCTACAAACACATGCCTTCTCAGAGGTATTTCTCACTGCTGTCTTCCTCCCCCTCCTTAGTGCTCATTTCTAGGGTTTCCACAAGAGAGTTGTGACTAATACTGACTTCACTTTATAAATTGTAGAGTCTTTTGTATAACATCGTGATTGAGTTGTAGCAAGGAATTAAGTACTTGAAAATTACTAAGACAGATTTGTTTGTTCATTTGTGTAACAGGGTCTCACTATGTAGCTCTGGCTGGCCTGACCAGGAACTCATAGATCCCCACCTGCCTATGCCTTACCTTACCCTTGCTGAGATTAAAGGCTACACTTCTGTACCCAGGCCTCAAAGACGGTGTCAGAGTTGCAGTTACGTGCAGTAATACATACACTGATTAGTTTGATGTGTTCTGCCCAGTTCACGAACCCCAAAAGATCAGGAATAAACAGACTCCACTGTAAATACATGAGGTTTTTTTTTTATTGTAAATTACAAGCTGCAGCTTGGGGCCCCCCCCCCCCCCCCCCCCCGCACCGCCGAAGCGGTGGGAGCTGAGCGCCCCGTGCCCAGGTTAGTTGGATGATTTAAAGATTCTGGTCCATCCCAGCATACCCAAGGCAGGGGCGATTCCTGCCTGGCAAGCATCTATTGGTCAAAATGCTACATTTTGAATTGATTGGCTATAGGAAGGTTCCCAGGCCATTCATAATGATCTGGTGTCCCTCCCTAGGGGAATGGTCCAGTTTCTTAGCAACCGTATCTCTAGTGGGTGGGGAAAGAATGCAGTAAGGCGGTCCTTCCCCTCAGGGCATTACTGGACTTCTCCACCCACCTACTTCAGGTCTTAATAATAGCTGCTAATTTATCTTTTGGTCTCTCAGATGCAGCATTTCTATGGGGTGTGTTTGTTATAGGTATACATACATATAGAGTACATGTCAATTGTTGACAAATTTTTTAAAGTAAAAAAGTATAACTAGGGCCTGGGGAGATGGCTCAGAGGTTAAGAGTATTGGCATATACTCTTCCAAAGGTCATGAGTTCAATTCCCAGCAACCACATAATGGCTCACAACCATCTATAATGCAGTCTAGTACCCTCTTCTGGTGTACATGCAGACAGAACACTGTATACATAATAAATAAGTAGATCTTTTAGAAAAAAAGTATAACTAAGTGCTCAAATTTACCAGTTATCAGGGAATTAAAGAAATAATGAGATACTGCTTTTCATTTTCAAATTAGTCACAGTCATAGGTAAGCAAATGACTTAATAGGTGGATGAGAGCATAGATATAACTGCTGGCTGTCAGTTCACACACTGTCAGTAGGAAAACAAGTGCAGTTTGATGAGACAGAAAACAGGAAGCAGTTCTGAGGGTGAAAGTGTTTGGAGAACTACAGATCACATTCAGGAAATAATTCAGACTGGAAGTCTGCCAAGTTGCTTCCTCTCAGCTTACATCTCACATCAAAGAACGATCTTTCCCTCAAATAAAACATTTCTTTCTTGAATATAAAAGTGTAGAGAGGGTAGCAGGTACCTGGAATTTTATGTTTTCATCTGTGAGCTATCGGTGAGTGTGTAGAGGGCCCTGGAAGGGCTTTATCACCTTTTGTTCTGCGTGCAGCCTCCTGAAGGCTGGTCAGGTTGCTTGGACAAGGGCTCTGTCTGCATTCTTCTCTTTAGGTTCACAGTGATGTCCCCTGAGTGCTCGTGGAGTGGCACATTCTTTTCAAATGTCTCAAGGCTACTTTGAGTCTCTGAAAAACCTCATCCCCCAAAAATTTGCAAACTTTCACTGCTGAAAAGAAGTGTTGTAATTCATGAAATAATTGATTTTTTTTTTTTTTTTCCTTTATGAAAGGCTTTCTTTAATTACTGAGACCCTAGTAGGAAGCAGGGGAGACTTAATGTTTGGTAGGTCCCTGCCTCTGCACAAGGCTGCAGTCTTTGTGAGTCTGTTCATTGTCCCCGGGCAGACCGCAGGCAGCTGCTGCTGAATGGGTTTAGGGGCTTACTTCTTAGGCTTTCACTTGAGAGTAAATCACACTTGGCTTAATTTGAATTTCTTTGGGACAGAAATCACTGGCGTAAATTGTACTTCTGAAAACCATGTCTCCTAATGCTAGAAAGTGTATGAGAAAAAAAATGAATTTACTTGTTAATAACCTATTTTCCTACTAAAAGCCCCCAAAGTTTCAAACATTGCAGAAGAACCTTTCAAACTGGTGATCATTAGCCAACCTGATGGGAAACCCTGCTGGGTTTGGGGGTTTTGTTGTTGTTTTGTTTATTTGTTTAACATTTTTGGTATTGGTAGTGGTTTGGTTTTTTTCTGAGACAGGATTTCTCTCTGAAGTCTTGGCTGTACTGGAACTCTGGCCTTGAAGTCAGCTGGAATTAAAGGTGTGCACCACCTCCTGGCTAGGAAATACTGCTGTTAATAGCAAATGAGGACTTAACAGTAAGAGTGAAGGCAACAGCTCACATGTTAGTGAATGCTTGGAATTTATACTGTTATTGAATAGGTTATTGTTTTATTTTGTTTTGTTTTTGGTGTTTTAAACTGGCAAGGCTTGTGCCTTCTACCCTTCTACACCCAGCAGCATTTTAAAAATTTTTCTAGTGGCTGGCTCTTTGATCACCTTCCCCTCAAGGCGGGGGGGGGGGGGGGTGCGCTTAACAGAACAAAGAGGCATGTGCCTTCTTAAGTAGATACATTTTCATGGTGGCATTCTGTGCTGAAGTTCTACCCATTTGCAGTCAATGCTTCTGTACTCTTTGTTTCTTAAATTTATGACTTAACTTTCTTAAATTTTTGAAGCAAGGTGGGTAAGTTGCTTTAGAGTTATTCTTTCAGGCAGAGCCAACCTGAGTGGAGTTGTGGATGGAATCAGCTCCCCCTGGCTGCCATATTTCCTGAATACATGAGTGTGGGGCTGCCAGCTCTTCATTTTGTCCCCTAATTTCTGTCTTTTGTGTTATCGGAAAGAAGTTAGGAGGGAAATCTAGCAGGGGGTTGAGGGCTGTGCAGCAGGAGGGAAACCACAACTAATTGAACTCTATTCTAGTCACATGAGACTTCCCCTCATTCCCCAAAGTTCACTGGTGATTGGCCTAAATGGGGGGGGGGGGGGTGTGACATTGCAAGAGCATGAAAGAGGAACTGAAATGATAAAGAAATCTTTATTATTCAGGAGGGGTGACTGGAAGGATCAGAAATGGTTTGAATATTAATGAGGAATGTGACCAGAGAGCTTTAGGCAGCACTAAGGGATCCTGTGGCCACAGGGCAACAGGAGCACACGGAGGGCCCCAGCCTTCTGAGGTCATGTGCTTCCTAAGCTTTCTGCCTTCCTTCCTGTTAATTTTCAGTTTTCATTTGGGGGTATGGGGATGTGGGGGTGCCCAAGAGGCACCTAATGTGGATACTGGAAAAGCAGCAAGCACTCAACAGCTAAACCATCTCTCCTATCCCAATGTCTTTAGTTTCAGCTAATCCATTATGATAGATGAATAGTGTGAATATTTTTCATACATAACATGCATGCCTTTAGCAGATTTTTAAAAAGAAGGGATAATTTTTGTCATTTAAATATAAGTGTCTGGAGAAAGCTAGAAGTAGGATACCCTCATTTTAATTCACAAACACTTTTTATAATGCCAGCCATTAAAAGAATATGGCTACGATAAGCTGGCTAGCCTGAAACTTGCTATGCAGGCCACAGTGGCCTTGAGCTCACAAAGATACAGCTGCCTCTATCCCCAAGCACTGGGGTTACAGGTGTGTGCCTTCTATCCTAGTTGCTCCTACTCTGCTTTTCCCTCTGCCTTGCAGTATTCCACAGCCACAAAGAGAAGGTATATTCCACTTAATGAGAATTTCTTATTGAATAACAATAATGTAATTTTACACACCAATAGAAACTATGTAGTGTACCACATAGCTAAGTATGCACCCAATCCATTATATGCAAAGTAAAATGTGCTCAAGGACTTTATGTTTTGTTTTTGTTGCTGAGACAACTCACACTGCCTCAGACCTGTTGCACTCCTCCACAGTAGAGGTAAACGGTCCCACCTGCCGAGTAGTAGTTGTAAGGTTATGGGACAAACTAAATAAACATGGTTAGGCATGCAACAGATCTTTTATATAAAGGAGGTTTATTAGGTGGAGATGGAGGGAGGGAGAGCAGGAAGAGCAGAGAGGAGGGAAAGCAGGGAGAGCAGGACATGATGGGGGAAAAGAGGGAAGAAGGTGATAGAGAAGAAGAAGAAGATAGAGAAAGGGGAGAGGAGCAAGAGAGAAAGGACCAAGAGAGGAACCACGTGTGGGGTTGTCCCTTTAAGGGTCAAGGTAACCACGCCTTCCAGGTGTGGCCGGCGACACATGATGACATCATAAGTTGCTAGGCAACCCAGAAGCAGGTTTGGTTCCAAAATCCTAACAGTAGTTATGCTACCAGTAACAAGTCTGTGTGGGAGACCTGTGGAAGAGCCAGAGAGATGGCTCAGCAGTGAAAAATAATTGCTGCTTTTCCAAAAGACCCTGGTTCAGTTCCCAGCACCCATATTGGATGGTTCACAATCACCAGTAACTCCAGCTCCAGGAGATCTGATACTCTCCTGGATCTTGGCATTCATGCACACAGACACACACGCACGAAATAAAAATAAATCTTTAAAATAAAGAAATATTCAGCTTTCAGTTTATCAGCCAAAGGTTTAGATTATTAAGAGTAGTAAAGTTAGGGGGCTGGAGAGGTAGTTCAGCGATTAAGAGCACTGGCAGCTCTTTCAAGGGACCTACCTAGGTTCTAGTCACAGCACCCACCTGCTGGTTCATAACCATCTGTAACGCCATTTCCAGGGAATCCAGGGCCCTCTTCTGACACCACCCCCCCAGACATGAAAATAGTATGCATATACATGCAGGCTACCATTCTTATGTGCATGAGATAAGTGTTAACACATGAAGCATCTTTAAGAGTATTATTTATTTATTTATTTATTTACTTATTTATTTATTTGCTAGGCGGTAGTGGCTCATAACCTTTAATCCTAGCACATGGCAGAGGCAGGCAGATCTCTGAGTTTAAGGCCAGCCTGGTCTACAGAGGGAGTTCTAGGACAGCCAAAGCTGTACAGAAAAACCCTGTCTCAAAAAACCTAGAGAGAGAGAGAGAGAGAAAATTTATATTTTGGGAGTTGGGTTTTCTTTTGTTTTGGGGGCAGTTTGGAGGAGGGAGCTGGGGGTTGGTTGGTTGGTTGGTTGGTTGGTTGGTTGGTTGGTTGGTTGGT